CTTGCCTTTGCTTTATAAGCAATCTTATAGTGGTGGTATCTTGTTTGTAGCTTGATGAGAAGGAGAAGGAACTGAAACAGAAGCTTGATCTAGATAAAGACCCCCCAATAAAGGTCTCTTATCGACCACTAGTGATCAATAACAGAGCAAGCTATCCAGTAGCTTTAATAAGACTATTGTAACAAGCAACCATCAGTTGTGCTTGATGTCAAAGAGTTCAATCTGGATTTGTAATCTCTTTAATATGCCACCAAATTTGGGCATAAAACTAAGTGTTATTGTTTTGGTTGGCAGCACTTCTTAACAACATTAGAATCAACTCCTTTTAAAAAGAAAAACCCACATGCTACAAACATCTCATGCCTAGTTTTACATTACTCACACTAAATACTTGAAATATCAAAAGCAGAGATGCATAAAAGATTGTCCATAAGATCAGTGTAATAAATAAGCTAAGAAGCTTTTGCTTCTTCATTTGGAGCATCATCCTCGTCATGGTAGATATTCTCAGCCATCTGCCATATTTGAAGTATGTTATCCTCAGCTACACTGGAAATAACCCAATCTTCACAAGGGTTCCACGAGAAATCTGAGATTTTGCTAGTGTGACCACCATGGATAAATAGCAACTCAGGTGGGCCGTCCTCTGCGTCTTCCACTGTCTGTTCCTCGTCGATCCTGTCATAAGACACCCTCAAATATATTAATATTATTGCTCTGTCACGACTAAGCATGACCATTCTATAACTAAGCAACAAAGTCTATAGCCCAAACCGGATCCGCCCAGACCTGCTAAGGTCCCAGACCATAAGCCTTCTACCAAGGCAACATGAGGCTAAGATTGTCTCGTTCTTCGGGTTCCAACCAACTTGGAAAACCTCCTCTCTGGTGATCAGAGAAAACAATTTAGGTTAGCAATGCTACTTTTCCATGAGCTAACGAGTTCTTAGTAAGAGAGAATCTGTCTCAAAACGGTTAATCAATCTTACTTATGGCTATCAAATGTGTGAAGGGCATTGTTTAGCTTCCGTAGATCGAATAATTTAACAGTCTTATCAGTTGACCCTGTTGCCACAACCCACTCATTAAATGGATTGAAAGCTAAGCAGTTAACCTGAGGCATTTCCAACAACCCAACAATTAGTAAATACAGAGGAAGCAATATGATTCAATGAATTTTGGTGTTAGGAATACAAGCTTGTTAATTAAAAGACCAGGCCACTTGTGTTTCTAATGAGATAAGATGAGCAGACTAGCCAGAAGGCTCAAACGTTTTATCTGCCTTTAAAGCCAGTTTCTGTTTTTTTTTTTTAATTGTAAACGTACCTCCATCGAGTGAGCAACCACAGACTGTACTGGTTTACTGGCAGATGGAGAACGCAGATCCCATATAAGAAGGTACTGGTCATCCCCAACGGATCCAAACAGGTATTCATGTCTCAGATGCCACGCAACATCCTCCACGACGCCTTCATGAGCCTTAAATTCAGCAAATAATCATCAGCAGGGAAAACATAGAAACCACACTTCAAAATCTATCTGTATCCTTTCATAAGCTAAGTGTGTGCAATTGCTTGCCTTCTACATGATGCAAAACAATAATCAAGACAGATAACAATCTAAGCATACCTTAAATATCTGCTGAGCATCAAGAGCCTTGTTTTTAGGCGTGGCGTTAATATCCCACAAGCAGATCTGAGCATCATCAGAGCCACTAAGCAAATGACCTTGCTTAAACTTACTCCAAGAGAGACCATAGCCCTCAGAGCTGTGACCCCTAAGCCTCATATCAGGATTGCAAGCCCCATCAAGAGGAGGCTTTGATGGGTGCTTACTGTAATCGAAAACATAGACCTCCGCATTAACCGTCTTGGTCGCAATTATGAAAGGGTTTTGAGGCATATAGCGAGCTCGATTAACCTCGCCTTCGTGATTTATTTGCTGGATAATTTGCACCTGCAAAAGTAATCAACCTTTTCCCTTTAACTCATTGGAACCCTAAATTCAAATTGAAACTTGGAGATGAGAAAAATAAAAATTGAACCTTTCCGGTGGCGCAGCCGAATCCACCAAATTCGGAGCGGTCATCGTCGTACTGACGGGCTTCACCCTCCGTGTCGTCAAGGGGAAGCTGAACTTGGGCGAGCATCAAATAATTGGGCTCGTTCTCGGATGTGTGTGTACCGAGAATCATCTTCTGGACGGAGTAGTCTTTACCGGAAGGTTCCTCACGGTCAGGGAGCCATTCGACAGTAAGGGAAGGCCACTCTAAGGCATGAGTAATGACGAGATCGTAGAGGAAAGGAGTGTTCTTCTTCCAGATCTTGTACTCTTCGTTGATTAGTCGCTCCTCGATCTCTCCCCGCATTTCTTCTTCGTCTTTCCCCATTCCCGGCGACTGCTTCGCTATTCCCGCCACAAGCGCAAAGGCAAAAACCCTAAAACAGATCTCTTTTGTGTGTATAATAAAATTGTTGCGAAGTAGATGCTCTTGTTTCTGTAAATTTACTTATAGA